ATCACTGGTAGAGGTGACTGACCAACAGTGCTCTCTAATAAACTTGAATCTTTTTGAACTGCGAACTTCAAGTCACCTGCCAAATATGGATATGATAGTAAAACCTCTTATGTAGACGAGACCCATAAGTCCAACAGCGGACTGTTACTAACTGATGTTGATTAATTAGACTCTCTCATTAATTCATACTCATTAAATATCATACTCATTAATTAGACTCTTTGACTGTTTATAGAGTCAAAGTTTAACCCCTCGAGCGTCCTTATGAGCACCCGGTGGATCATCAGAAAAAATGCTCTATGCTGCTTTCTCTTTTATAAAATTAATGTTTTGTTTTTATTTTGACTGTATTTTTTCTTTCTATTGTAATGATCCTTGTTTTCGTGTGCCAATGGTCAAATAAATGCATTTTCTTTCTTTCTTTCTCTAAATGTCACGTGTGCACCCCTTGGATCATAAGGAACGCGGACGCTCGACGGGTTAAACAAATAATTGCATTACGTCAGTTGCCATTCTTGTAAGGTTTCTATATTTAGTTAGGATCAATCATATTGTACCGAGAAAATTCGTTTATTTGTGTTTGATTAGTAGACTATTCATTAATAGATGGTTACGAAGAAGAATCTAATTTTAACAATGATCATTCATCAACATTTCATTGAATAGTACGTATGTTTAGACTATTGTGACATTTTATTGATGACAAATGAATAAGAACATCTGTCGAAGACAATGTCAAGAGATTTTACAATTACCTTACAATATCTTTGTAAAGAAGATGTGCACTTGGGCCCCACGGCCCTAAAGTTTCAACCCCAAACGGTTCGCCAATCAGGCTATTATACTTTCGCCGTTTGAGGTTCTCGGCAGAAGCAGGGGCAGCACCGGCTCGACACGCTGAGCTTGGAAGATGGGATGGCGCCAGAGTATCAACGCAAGTGGCGTCCCATACTAAAGCCCTACCCATCTTTCAAGGGAATAATGACATACCGTCGGGTGTCTTGCTATCGTCGCGTACTAAGCCATTAGGTTCTAAAGTAGCTGGCACGCCAACGGAGGCTCGACAAATTATGTCATTAGCACTTGTGTGTCGAGCAAAACGTCCCGCACTACGGCTACATGACAAGCCGTGGTGTCCAAAGCTGTTGACATCTTCTGTTATATTTTATTGTTTGCAATAATCTCAAAACTTGCTGAATACATTTGGATACGATTTGCACCAATTCATATGTATAACTTGCGACCCGCCCCGGCTTCGCACGGGTGCAATATCCATGTATTATAGGTACATAAAAACCTTCCTTAAGAATCACTCTAAAAAAACCGCATTAAAATCCGTTGCGTAGTTTTAAAGATCTAAGCATACATAGGGACAGACATACGGCGGATAGCCACTTTGTTTTATACTGTATAGTGATGATTCTTGAATTTGATATAACAACTTTAGTTAGATGTAGAGGGCAGATGGTTGTTTCACATAAAATATGGACTGACTCAGCCGAATCTAGTTATGACTCAGTACCAATCCCAAAGACTAATGGGAAAAAGCCCGGAAAAAACGAAGACGTATCAATAGTAACTCTTGGGGAATTTGTAAGTCTTGAAGATTTAAACATTGCAGAAGAAACTGTCCTTGGAAAGCTTAATAAATTAGCGACACGATACAGCCTAACATACAGCCCCATACAGAACCCTACGGTGGATCAATCTATAAAATTTATTCATCGGATTTTCGACTTTATATTAACATGTTAAAGTTGAAGATATAATAGTGACATTTGAAAGAAAGGATAGGTTGACCTGTTGGTCACAATACCTAGTTATTCAATAATACAATGATTGTTTCATGATGTAATAACAAATATGTTTACAATATTAAAATTGAATCATATGATATTAGTAAATATTTAATAGCCATTATGACTCATTAATTATCTTTTCTTATTTCAACATTTTTACATAAACGCGTCAATGCAATATGACAGCGAATCTTTTTAATCAACTTTATTAGTTGTAGATAATTTCATGCGTCATCGATTCTCTGCAATCGTGTGAACAAATCAACATCAGTCCACTGCTGGATATTGGTCACCCTCTACACAAGAGGATTTGCCATAAAGTCCACACTTGACAGGGTTGGTGTTCGCTGTTTAAGAGGTTCACATTTATTGTCTAGTGTTCACAGCACTGCTGCCCGATCTATGGAAAATGTCTTGTTTTTTTTAATATCTCACGACACAGAGAGAAATTGCGACCAACATATTTGACTCGATAAATTCATTTAACTTTTTTTTTCTCGAATGACAACGGAATCCTGATGGTATAAAGACTCGTATACTGCCATTTGAACTTACATTGACTGCTAAATATTTTAAATGGCATTTAAAAATAATGGCCAGTTCTCGTGTTCTATTTAAAATTTAAAATGAACCATAAACACGGAAGTACATTTTTATATGGAATAAGAAATAAAAAAATGTCCCTGACTATGAGTTGTCATTATCATTATAAGTTTTAATCAACAGATATCCGCAAGTTTTTCACATACTGTGCCGTTTATCAGATAATGTTATATTGATAACTATAATCACTAATTGCGCCAATGGTTTAGTCTTCAACAATCTTTATAAGAGCATTGCCATTAGCATTGTTAGCATCAAAATACGTATTACTCTTTCTTATTTGAATCTTTCTAGTGTTTACATACAAAATGATTGTGCATAGTAATATTGTGTAACCAAAATGAAGTTATAAGTGAATTTGGATGTTATTGAAAGTGATATGGAACATAAGATTGTACAAACATTTGTGGATTACGTGCAGAGGAAAATGCCTAGTGATGATGCAGTTAAGGCTAAGAAAAGTCCTTCGGAAACTTCGAAACTCAATAAATTCAAAGACATGTTTGGATCACATCATGATTTGAGGAAACTTGTTCCTCAACCAAAACGTAATTACAATATTTTTATAGCGAAAATTTGATCGAAACTGACGTCAATCTATGCGTTTTTTATAATGCATCCTTTATATAAATTGTAGCTAAAACCTCCTTTAAAATATCTATGGGTATAACCGTTATTTTCCTCTACAATGTCCGGATACTATCAAATAACAATATGTTTTTAGATATTTGTTTCATTATCTGATTGTAATAATCTATATCTTTCCGTTGAAGTATTGCGTTACCAAAAACGTTCATCATGCAGTGTAATGTGGAGATATCTTGCTAATGTGGTACAAAATGTTGTAGGCGAAGTAGATGAAACTGATATTATAGGGTAAGGAGATGAAGTGCTTGATTGTGATCCTAATAACTATGTTACTTTGAAAAACACTGCTGATTTCAGAAATGTTTACGATGAGAATGTGCAAGTTGTAACAGCTGCAAATATATTTATAGGTACTGAAAAAGCGGATCTATTAACAAACAGGAAAGTCAAGCAGGAAACAAAAATACAGTGCGTGATAATCTTAAGGTTACATAAAATCTTAGATCTAGTTGATTATTACCGGATACCGTAACAATGCGTGTAAAAACCGAATTAGACACGCCTAGTATAGACGGCGAAATTTAATCGATCTGTGAATTGACTATATGTCGATACAATCTTATCGTTTCCACACACGATTGATAAAAGAGCTCCTATCAATTTATCTGTAGCAAGCATGACGAATTCTGCTGTTTCTTCAGTTTATACCAGACTTCAATATCTTAAATTAACCTCTAAAAAGAATCGCCTAACAATATCGTGTGTTTTTCTACTAAAATTCATAATTTTCCTCAATTATTTTCGTCGTTATCTTATCTGAAATTAATTAATAATTCGTATTTGATTCTTTTTTTTTGTTTTTGGTGTGAATTCAGGATACAGGCGAAAAAGGTAAATTGGAAACAAAATTTAATTCTCTGGAATGTTTCGGTCTCCGATGTGTACGTGTCAGTTGCCTGTTCCTAATCATGTATCGTCCGTGTCATGTTTATTATATTCCAAATTATAATTCATATCTACATATACATAATTATGTGATACTTCATTGGGATCCTTTGAAATACCTCTTTAACTATTTTTTTTCATTAGTCATTCTACCAACTGAAATTTAATCTTTGGCAGAAATGACTCTTGTAAAAAATCCTTTACATAATTTTTGTGTCTCAAAAACCTAAACTTTTATACCTTCATCTTCACTAATAAGTTGTTATTGTTAAGTAGGTAGGTACATCAACTGATTTTAACTCAATTTTTATGTCGTACGTAACCTAAAAAGCGTATTTTATTAATCCATACTATATTCTGCCTCTCTGGTTATGGCTTTCAATCCAAACTGTCTTGCTGTGGTATTGGGGTACCTTTGACCATGTACTGTCCATACTATAATTACGTAAATGGCGTTAAAAGGAATGCATTTGCTTCAATTTAAAAACAAATAACAATTTTTGAATTTTTAGAGCTACACTACTTTTGGCGCCAATACTTATGTCAAGTTACCACAGATTATAACTAGTGGTAACATATACTCAATCTCGCATCCAGGCTACATGAATGCATAAAATTTTGTCCAGATAAAAATAAAGAATAAAGTATAAAACTAATAAATAAATCGTAATCTCATATTTTTGAATCTAGCCTGATTTTATGCAATCATTTATTGAGGAATATTCTTTTGAAATGAGAAAATTAAATATTTATTGTACGAAATAGATACTTTTATAAAGAATATTATGTTTTCCGGCTTACTCAAGTCATTATTTGACGTGGTAAAGGTGCATTGTGCGACAAACGGCCAACGTCATGCAACCAACTCTGTGTTGGCTTATCTTACATGAGTAAGCCATAAAACACAATAAAATTAATAAAATAAGGTAATATGGCTCCTAAGACTTATAACACAAAAAAAGAATATGACTCAAAATGGCCGACAAATCTCTGCTTTTCCATCTCAATTCCTTCTTGCTGTTTTGACTAACAATGCAATTCTATCTCTAATGTTGTCAATTTCAGCTGGAGGGAGTAGCAATGAAGATTCGAGCGACTCCACAGAAGTTTCTATTCAGAAATCGCAAGTGAGGAGTAAATTAAGAAAATTCTTCGCGAAAAGACCACCCGTGGACCAACTAATGAGGAAGGGAATCTATAAAGGTTCGGAATTTAATCTTTGATGGTTGTGTGGCACTGAGTAGTTTAGAATTAGAACGTAGAATTGGTTTGGAACAAAACACAGCTAACCTTTTTGGAGTGAGACTTTTTTTGGAGTTAACCATAGACTTGGTGTATGAATTGTGTGGTTTTTTTTATTAATTTGGCGCCATGTTTATTAATTTTTCAAGTTGAAATTAAACGTTTTTTTTAGTGGAATTAACTTTTAAACAGTGTTAAAATTGTATAATATTTTATGGGTTTATTTAATCTTCATATTTAGGTTTTATTGGCTTTAATTAAAAATGTAAAGTGCATCGCAAAATAGATGTTCACGAATTTAGTGCATATTTAATTTGCGCCAAAGGTAAGTGCTTATTTATTTTTGAAGTGGTATTTATTTTGTATGTATTATTGTATTTTTTACACTTAACAATATGTATCATAAGAAGTAGTTGTACAAAAACTAATTTGGTGTTTTATTATTTTACCTGTGTGCGGCTAATTACTATTTAAGGTTACTTTCAATCTTTTATATAGGTCATTCTCTTTGTATTTATAACAGCCAGTTTCAATAAAGATTTGCTTACTAGAGATAGAAGACTGATATATTTTGTAAAAGCTTTCCACCCACGGTTTCACACGTGTGGTGTAAAAAAAGTATGTAATTTTAAACCTTCCTCTTGAATTAAACCACATCAAAATCTATGGCGTAGTTTTTTACTGTAGTAATGAATATATCAAAACTACATCGCTAGTAGTCAAATCTAGTTAATGCATTATAACTGGCCATTTTTTTGTTTTTTTTTTGAATAGGTAATGTCGTTCCTTGGCGCCCCATTGCCGACGTGACGTAATAACTTACGATCATAACAAAACATGATGACGTTACAGAAACAATAACAATGTCGGTTTATATGTTTTACGGCAAAATATGTTTTATACACTCATATTTTGAACTTAGTTTCTTGTTATGCACTATTTCTAGGTATTATTATGGTGTTTGTCTGAAGTTTTCTAAGTAGAAGTCTGTACCTACTTTTTAACAGTCAATAAACTTAAAAACATCGGAAAGTTTTCAACTATTCCAATAGGGTATTGTTCTTTGATTGTCTGGGTATGAAAATGAAAAATCTAATTAGTCAGTTAGATAATGAACAAATATTAGACACGTATTTTTTATTTTCTCGTATAAACTTGCAATACTTAGATAAAATGGCGTTAAGTTTAGGAGTGTCGTTAAGTCATAACGTGCTATACAAAAAGTAGCACGCTGTGACGTCACACGATATTTTACATTACTATATTGTCGAAAGTATTTAATTTTGAAAGTAAAGAAATAATACATGTATAATGTTTTAAACTAATCTACCAGGTGTACATTAAAATAAAGTTAAGAAAGTTACTCTATTCATTCCTTTTTTTTTCTTGTCATAGAGGCATCTGCTGAATTTTTAAATTGTGAATGTTAAACGAAATTGCACAACTATGACGTCATACCTTAGATGTTAAATTGTTTTTTTAACCATATAATGAGCCCGGGTCCGGCAAAGTACTACTGGGTTTTTAAAAAATTCTGAGTAGTTGCACGGAGTCTGGAACTGTGCCCGGTATATGGCAATAGGCTCACCCCCTATTACATGGGACTTATAATATAAATAGTGAAAAGTGGGTGTTACATTGTACAGTGGTATAATGTGCATCTCTGCCTACCCCTTCGAAGATAAAAGGCGTGATGTTATGTTATGTTACGTTATAAATGAGCATGACTGATCCTAACGTTTAACATTTATTTGCCTAAGAACGTAGGTTAATGCCATTTTCCTTAAATTTTAGGTGATGAATATTAGATGATTTCATTATTATGTACTTTATTTGCTAGAATTACTGTATAGGTATTTATAATTATTTAACGTTACGTAACATTATGATGTCACTATTTCCTTTAATTATATTATCGTACGTACTTATAGACATTAGGGGCATTTTTGGTCTCCGAGTATCGGTGACCTGAAATAGTCTTGGATCAGTATGGTTATTTTACTCTATAAATAGTTATAGGGGATAACTGGATCTTACAAACTTGGGTATATCTAATAAGTATTTCTTAAAAATTAGAAACTAATGTTGCAATATTAATTATTTTGGAATGCACATATTTTATTGTTAAATATTATGTTTCCGGCTTATTCACGTGACTGTTTGAAGGCATGCGACAGTCGCCGCGTCGCATTTCGCAGGATGCTGCTCGTGAATATGAGCCTCTAGCATAGCTTGAAACTAGTCGAGTTCCTCGTCAAACAGTACCGTAAGCCGGAAACATAATAATTACTATAATATGTTTCACGAAACTTTTAAATATACACGTATTTTATTGTTTTGATAAATCCCACAAATTAACTTTTGATTGAAGTACTACTAAATTATATATTTACCTCATTGGATGTTATTACGACATTTCGTTTCGTCTTAGAGTTCAGATTAGTAATAATTTAAGGTTAACCTAATTGTGTGACGTATTTGAAATTAAACCACAGTGTTTTGATGACGAAGTACCTTATAAGTTCTGCATATAAAATATACTAAGTAAGGCTTAAATCATGACATTAATGTTGACTATTCTATGTAACAACATACGTCATGTTTTGATGCGTTGTGGGCTTTAAGATCATGTCAATAAGCTTCCTTCGATTCCATACAGACTTTAGTTACTCCGGGTTCTTAATTGTGAACAGTCGTGCTTGAGAGCGCTCGTGTCTTTTATTTTTTTATTGTGTTTTTAATTGTTTTTTTTTTATTACGTGTCAATAAGCGTCAGTTACATTTAAATTTTAATTGCGAACAGTCGCTTGATTAAGCGCGCTTGTTTTTACTTTTTTTTTTCGATTAACTTTTTAATATTTTTATGCCATAATGTGTCACGCATTGAAAAATAAATTGGAGCAATTTTTCTGGACGAATGTCGTACAGAGGAAACGCGACTGTGATTTGTTTCCCGGTATTTATTGTTTTTTTTTTATTTCGTTTTTTTTTGTTTTGTTTTGAGAATATTTTATAGTAATTTTAGCAGTAGTTAGAAGTAGTTAGAGATTGGTGGTTGCAAAAGTTATTAGTCTTTAATAACTTGGTGTAGACTTTTTAGATTGGTTTTTACGCGTACGTCATTCCATTTAATGCTTACGTACCTATCAAGTACCACATTTTAAGCAAGTTATATTGAAGAACACTTTTGTATATTAATTCTATTGTATACTAAATAACCTTTTCGGTTGGTTTCTATATGTTTTTTAAGTTGTACTTAACTTTGATTGATGTTTCGACCAAATTGCACTGAATATAATCACAATCATTTTTATCTACAAACAGCACATCAACTTGCCTCAATCTGTAATGCATTTTCCACTCTACTCCTCTGTAATAAGATCATATTTCCATTAACAGTTTCGGAGTTGATTGATGTGCTCATAGTACAAATTTCTGACGTCATCAATTTTTTTGACAGATGAGCCAGTTTTCGGTCGGAATCTGGAGGAGGTGTGTCCGGCTACTAGTCCACGAGTCCCAGAGTTCGTGGTGGCGTGTGTGAAGGAGATAGAGAGGCCTGACAATATGTGCACCGATGGACTATATCGTGCCAGCGGCAACTTGAGCCAGGTGCAGAAGATACGATTAGAGGTGAGTGTTTTGAAATGTTCAAGAGATTTTACATACATACATAACTCCATAGAGGTAGGCAGAGACTATGGAACGCCAATTACTACGATTCCTACATACCTCTTTCGCTTAATCAACAATAAGAGATTTTTATCATACTTTAATCTTATTTTCTATTTTAACAAAGAAGATGAACTGCATTGCTTGCATTTAGGTACCTTTACCTCTTCACTCAGCATGCTACTTTTACCTCTAATTAAATCCTCCGTCATCTAGAAAGCAATATATAGTTTTCATATAAATGAATAGTTCTCTCCTTGGTTTTTCTTATCATGATACTTTTATTTATTTCAAAATTATTTTTACGAGAATATTATTATATTATAGAAACACATCTTTTTTCCTTCTCTAATTATATTATGAAGGTTTAATTTAACAATTTCTTTATCTTCAGGTGGATCAAAACAAGATGTCGGTGATCCAGAACAACACAGACATCCACGTGCTCACCGGCTCTCTGAAGCTGTTCTTCCGAGAGTTGAAGGAGCCACTCATACCCTGCTCTATGTTCGACAGGGTCCTCGCTGCATGCTGTAAGTACACCTTTATTACCCTTATTTTCATCAGCATTCACCATCAACCGAAAGGTTTTCCCTGACACTGCTAAAAAAAACTCCCATTCCCAGATTATTTTCAAAAATTCCATCCAAAGGTTGTCTGTTAGAAATCGCCACATGTGATAAGACCGCCCATTGTACTCAAATTACTATTATGTTTACAATTTTTTTTTTGTGTGCAATAAAGTATAAATAAATAAATAAAACAAAACTCCTCTTAATAGGCGACTGGACATCGAAACATCGGCTTTTAGATCTTTTGTCCACACAAATCATTATCTGGAAAAAATATTAAACAGATTGAATACCTAAATAGACCGCATCATAGCTTACCACCAGGCCAGATAGTAGTCAAACGTCGACTCATCAAATATAAAAAAATGTAGTTTAACAACAACACTTTGTTAAAAAGGGCCTCTAAAGTTCAGGAAGCCAAACTCGTCTAATAATATCGTCTTGGTATCTTCTTGGTAGAACTTTAATATCGTGGCTTTACAGGCGTTTATCCTTCCTGCTCTATTTCTGTTTACATGAAAGTTACAACGAACACAAGCATAAGGATTGTCGTATACCATTACATCATACATAATTAAAACTATAGCACCGTAACCTAACGGCTTTAAATATTAAATACCCCATTTACAATCGCTCAAAGGGAAAGGGCCGAAAACTCCGGATATTGAAAAATACATTTTAGAAGCATATAAATGTTTTAGGTGCTTTGAAGATATGTTAAAGATAATATAAAATTGAATTTATTCAAGGCATAGATAAAAAATCTTGTTATCAGACCATTTTGTTTCGATCAACGAATTATTATAATTGGAGACGTAATTAACGTAATGTTATCTTTGGCTTGATGTAATGTTATGTTGTAATATAACATTACAAATGTTATTCTCCGAAAGTGTTACATATAAGTTTTCTACCTATTTTTAAGTTAAACTCAATACTTCATTACTGAAAATAGTTAATTCTAAACCAACTTTTAATAAGAATTTGACAACATGGTTGGTGCAGTGGTTGGGCAACCGGCTGCCGCGCAATGTGTCGCGGGTTCGATTCCCGCACGGAGCAACTCTTTGTGTGTCTTTGTCTGTTTGTCATGTGTGTGTGAACTTGTATGTTTGTAAACGCGCCCACGACACAGGAGAAAATCCTAGGGTGCGGCAAAGTTTTTATTTAAACAAAAAAAAAGAAACAGAATAATGCTTGTTCATACTTCTAACCCGAATAAAACTCTTTGCGCGGGAAACTTTACTAATCTGTCACTTATGACATGACAGATGACATCATCAACATGACAGCTAGTGCTGTCGATAATACAGATTAAACTAGTGACGTTCATTTAGTTGACTCTACTGAAATGGGGCGCATCTAACACTGTGTCTATTTCTTTATTCAGACTTAATATCCAAAATATGTACAGGTGAACTAAGACTTAAGTTAGACTAAGGTAATGCCTTAACCTTAATCTAACAGTCGGTGATGCGGTGACGAGTATTGACTGTAGTCATAACAATATTCTCCATAACATTTTCCTTAACCCCCGATCGTAATCTAGACCCTAAAAACATCATTCGATTTTTAAAACTACATAAAGAATTCTTCTTACGTTTAAAATGTGAAAGACACGGCTGACATGTACCTAATAATAATGTTTTTTTTAATTTCAGCAATAAAACCAAAAGAAGCCAGAATCAAGGAGTTCCAAGAGATCGTGAAGGCGCTGCCGCCATGCAACAGAGACACACTCAAGTTCTTATTAGAACATTTGATAAAGTGAGTAAATCTTATAAAGTCAAAGTCAAAGCATTTATTTCAATTAAACCATAGTTTGGTACTTTTGAAACGTCAACAAATACATGGTGGTATATTTTAGACACCTCCTAAAAATATTATAGAATCAATTGTTAAAAACGACACATTTTCTAATCTACTCTTTACATATTTTGAAACCAAGTTTTAAAACAACGCAATCTTTAAAGATTCCATGATAATTCATTTCAACATTAAAATGCGTAGCACCTTTAAAAAAAAAACAAAAATCAGGAGGTTCTAAATTTAGTTTTTCGTTTTTTTTACTTAAATATGTCTGTTTTCTTTACAGAGTAACCGAATACAAAGAACAGAACAGAATGCACACAGCGAACCTAGCAATAGTCTTCGGGCCCACTCTGCTATGGGCCCCGCCAGAACAGGCCCACAACATCGCAGTCGACTGCATCCAACAAAACAATGTCGTCGACATCCTACTTACAGACTTCAAGGAAATATTCGTAGACAATGGAAGCAAAGGAAAAAAGAAAGCGTGAGCGAAACTCTACGGGTAGTGTTGCCAACCCAAAAATTGGTTATCCTACCAAAATAAGTTGTCAGATGCGAAAAATCCACTCTAAACAGTAATATTTACATTTCTGTAGCGAAATAAGTAAGTACTTTAATAAATAAAACGATGTATTTTCGATTGTTTCTGCACTTATTCTGGGGTAGTTGTCATGTTAAGATGATGGATAACATCTAAATATGACAATGACCAATCATTCCAAAGGGTTTTTGGTGGAAACGCTAGCTAGTGTTATGTGGATTGATAGTGTTATAGGTACATAGTGTGAAGGACCTATTTTGTGTATATAGAAGATTGTATGATAACTACAAATATTGAAGCCTTAGAGTTATTCGGTATGATCTCTGTTGCTTACAAAAAACCTTATTTAATACCTAGTGTTGCGATTTGAACAGTCTGACGACCAGTTTGAATAATCTACCGATGGACGCCATATTTCTGAATAGGCAAACGAATTATTTATTTTCTCGGTCGTTGGACTTTAATAAAATTGTGTTTCAATTAAAATAATCAAAAAATATAATAAATACTGAATGAGAGTTGTGATTGTGAAGCAATATGGTACGGAAAGACTGTCCGAGGCTAGAGATAAAATAATATATTCAAATAATTATTTACTTTGTAGATAAAAAAAAATATAAAAATTAAAAAAAATCCTTCTATCTGTATATATTTGTGGCATCGCACACATTGACGCTAGATCGACATTCCGTAGATCTGGTGAAGAAATAGTTTCAAACTCCTTGCATTTTCCTATGTAGGTACGTTCATCGACACTACTTAGACCACATTAGGACGTCGTTAACAATTTATTTTAGAAAAACATCGTAATATCTTACGAATGATGCATCAATGTATAAAATTTATATTACTACTTAATTTACGGTGAACTAGTTCGATAAAACTGTTTATTTGCTGGGCAAAGGACCTCTTTGCGTACAAAAAAGGTTGTTTTACCTAAAATAAATTGTAAATGATACTCCATTGATGTTTCTAGTAGTGTCTTTGACCATACATGGCATTATCTTACTCAATTCTATTCTATTAAATAACATAGATCTAAAGTAAGAAAGATCGAGTTTAGGAGTTAAAACTATAAGTAAATACATCATAATAGTAAATGATGACGTGTGATGTAGGGATTATAGTTTTAAAATCATTATCAACAGCATTCGTTTGGGGCCAATTATGTAATTACGAGTCCTAGAAAAGTTGGAGCGAGTAAAGACAATAAGGGACTGGATACTTTAGAAATCAATACACTTTTTCGTTTAAAATCTATTAATAATACTGAAAAAAGATTGTTTTCTGGATTGTACGTCGTTTTGGACGTAATTAAATTATGGTGCTTTGATTTTAACTGATACACGTATTCAAAAACTTAAATCTAGTGCCAAATTATCGATTTATCCGCATTTCGGTTCTCCCATTGTCGCCGCTCGCGCCATCTCTTAAACATTTAGCGGCTTTAAGCCAATATTTATAATTTGTGCCTTAAGCTGTGTAAATAGTCATCATAGATGATTTGGTTTGTAATGTGATAATCAGTTTGTTGTTGTATCTTAGCTTAATTTCGTTGTATTAACTATTTAAGTATAAAAATGCTTGCAAACGTGACAGTCTAGTCCTATACAGTTAAATCTGGACTTTAATTCAGTAAAAGCTTTGCTTCCATTTACTTGTTCGAAGCCTTTTCATATAGGATTCATTTTTGCATACATCGTTCGTAAAATATCTGTACCTATTAGTATAAAAGTTTTGTCTGTACGTAATTTGTATTTTCTAATCGATTTCGTTTATATTTGCACTGTAAATATTAGAAAGAAATGTTCAGAATCGATGCTTGTATTCCTTATAGTGATTATTTAAAATATTTCAGCTTCCATGATTGTGTAAATTCATTAGTTATACAGACAAAATCTAGAATAATACTCAAGGTAATACACCAATATAAAATATTGTAAATTTTCTAAATAAGCTAGTAACCAAAGTTTTTTGTATTCGGCTGATAGAGTAAAAGATATAAATATATTGTTGTGTAGTTATTACTTTATGTATGTTACGCCAATAATGCTTGGACATAGATAATGAAGTTACATGAAATAAAATCAGATTATTTTAAAATTAAACTTTATTTTATTTATAAATATCGCTTCCCTTTCTCTCTGCTTCTTTGCTTCTTGGTCTGCTAAACAAGGAGAATATCGAGTAAACTAATTATGTCACATTGGACGTTTTCGGTTTGCTAAAAATTTTCAATAACAGCTCAGCGTCTGGATTTGTAATGTACATATTTGGGACTGGGACTCGCAACATAACTGGTGATGAATGTCCCGACCACTTCTTTTTAAAGACATCAAAAAGTAATATCTATATCTATGTAGGTATACTAGCAAACCCGGCGAACTCCGATTCGCCACCAGATGGCTTCGTTTTATGTAACATTTTGTTTGGTGATTAAAAGTGATTTTTTGCTATAAACCTCACGAAGCCCGAGACCTTTACAACAAATCCAAAACCGTAGAAACCGGTTCGTGCCTTTTAGAGTTATAGCGTCAGGAAGGAAAACCCGACTTATTTTTATATAGTAGATATAGTTATATACGGGATGACTTGTAACTTAACGTATTCCTTTCGGGAGGTAATAATACTACAACTAATTTCCTACAAAATTAGCCGTAGGTCCCTGGTACGAAAATGGCTAGTTTTTAAGATGTTCAATATTTTCGGTTTTGGTGAAAAAATCCCGATCTTACTATAAAAACATCAATAAATAAAAAAGTACTGGGTTGATTTAGGTAATTTTAGTTTTAATGTGTTGTCAATACATCAATAAACATTTATTAATACTACTACTTTCAGAAATACCATTCGTTTTAAAATAGCAAGTAATATAGAATCAAATTTTGTTTTAAGTCACTAATTTGGCCAATAGAAAACTGGATCCTTTTCAAAAAAATTATATGACACTAAGCGTACGCACTATTATATTCTTTTATATATAATATTATATATAAAGTCGTGTTAGTTACACTATTTATAACTCGAACACCTGTATCGATTTGGATGAAAATTGGTGTAGCTTAGAACTAGGAGACGGACATTAGGATACCATTTATACAATACTAGCTTTTACCCGCGGCTTCGCTCGCGTCACAAAAGGATAAAAAGTAGCCTATGTGACATATACCAATACACACAGCGCCATCTATACCAATAATTTCGTTTGTCCTTGAGAATATCAAATTTTCCGGGATAAAAAGTACCCTATTATTTAATCCAGACATCTAACTTCATGTCTGCAAAAATTTAAAGCAATCGGTTCAATAGTTACGGCGTGAAAGTCGAACAAACAAACAAACAAACAAACTCACTTTCGATTTATAATATTAGTAAGGATTTTTTTTACTGCTTACCGATAATCACAAACGGGAACGGGAAAAAACGGGATTGCTCGCACGAAGTCACATGCAGAAGCTAGTTACGTATATTATTGCAATAACCATTACTGAAAAATAAACTGTAAACCAATAACGATAAAGTAGCATTACAGTTAACCTCGAATGCCCGTAATTCAGGAAGTGTAACACAAAGAATCTCAATGTCATTCTATATTTAGTTTGTTTCCAAAATAAACGTGCTCCAGTTTTCCACTTCAGTATAATTTACATACATATTTCATTGAGGTAGATTTTCTTTCAGCCATATCGTGGCATATTTTTCACTACCCCTGCTCTCTCCACGGATATCATACTTATAAAAGTCGACTAAAGCACCAGAAAATTAATGAATATCAAGCCGTAGTGTTCTCTGTCACTGATGAACATGACGCGATCTCGAACCCGCTTGTCAAGCGTGGAGTTAGTGATAATCCCTCTTTTTAAGGAGACCTACCGTGAAAATATACCTATGAATTAAAAATTAAAAAGGAAAGAGGGAAGGAAGAAGGAAATAACATTCATCACATTATTTGTTTACTTAATTATCAATTTAGTTGACTGTCAATGAACAGAATATTTTTCTTATTACTTACTAATAAGTAATTATTTGCCTAAAGTTCCAACAATCAGGTAAAAATACATCATCCGAAGAACCTCTACTAGGACGTCGTAGCACAGTAAGAAGTTGTATTAACAAGTGACCTAGAAACTCCAGTAAACAAAACCAAAGCAAAGCCAAACCAAAAGACTGCACGGTTGGTACGGTGGTTGGGCAACCGACTGCCGTGCAACGTGTCCCGGGTTTGATTCCCACACGGGACAACACTTTGTGCGATCCACAAATTGTTGTTCCGGGTCTGGGTGTCATGTGTATGTGAACTTGTATGTTTGTAAACGCACCCACGACACAGGAGACAATCCTAGTGTGGGGCAACGTGTTTTTTTTAAAAAAACCTTCTTAACGAGATTCCATATTTTTCAGGTCTGTATATTTCTAAACTAACATCGTTTTCTTTCTCTAATTAAGCTTAAAAAGTTAACATATACACAGACATACATTCTTACATAAAGATTAAACTTTTACATTAACAATATTAGTACGAATAAAGTCTATATATAGGAATTCCATTATTTCCATTAGTACTGTGAGCATAGCTTCCGCGTAATGAACGGTAAGTGGGATCCGCCTGTGTATAATGTAATTATACTGGGTGTGCTACACACACATATATATATACTACTAGTATACTACTATTCACAATTAGAGCTATGATAGTGTGAGTGCATACAGTAGCTCAATAAGTACTTATTGTCATATATTATGTCGCGGAGAACCTAACGGGTAACCGGGGCTCCGGCTCGACGTGTAGGAGAAGGAACGGGGTGGTTTTTAGTCAGTAGGAGTCTGACACTCCCTCCCGCCACACCCAGGCGGGAGCAGTCATTCGATGATTTTCCCCCCTTAAAAAAAATTGTCATATATGATCTATGATTTTATGCGAACGACTCTAGGAGGTGCTTAGGAATATTATTCCTATTCCCATTTAAAAGGCCGGACCTGTAACTCAGCTGGTAATGCGGGAGTCCATGGGCGGCGCTGACTGCTTACCATCAGGTGATATGTCTGCTCGTTTGCCACCTATTCCATAAAAAATTATGAATGCGAAAGTAAGTTTGTTTGTCTGTTACGTCTTTGTGCTTTGCCTGCTTATCAACGTATCTTCTTGGTGGATTTCAAGCTAATATTAAATCAGATAAGTAACCTTCTTGTATTTTTGGCATTTTAAAAGCTGGGAAAGTGAGAAGTGAATACTTTATTATATCCCTTATGAGACACACAGAAGTTATTTTATTTATGCCTCAAATATACACCGTGCAATCTTTTCCGTTTTCGTCCCGAAGTAAATGGTTCTGTCTAGGTAATACAATAGTTTTTAAAAGAAATATAATGTTATAACGTGTGAACCATTGCAAAAAGCAAACTTCGAAAGCACATACGAACTCATAGTAGCTGAATTATCAAAACATCTTGCCATGTACCTAATTCTCGAAGAAGTATTTCTTATCGGGTGGCACGTGCGATGTTAATGGTGCATAGAAATTTACGTCTAGTGTTTCGTGTATTGCGTATTTCCATGAAAATTTCTTATAAACTAACAAAAAAGACCTATCGTTTTTTTCTTCTTCTCTTATATAATATCTTCTGATTCACTTCGTTGCGGGAACCAAGGCAGTTATTCATGTCCTTGAGACGGGCCGGACTTCTGTGTTCCGGTGTTTTCATGTTTGTATCTACTGTAGATCCTGGCTTACAGGAGTTGCAGGGGTTTTGGGAGCTTGTGGTGGGCTTGTAATTGTTTTGTACCTACAGCGCGCACCCCTGACGCTGGCGCTGCGGACGCTCAATGTGATGTCGGAATAGGTACATTGACATATTTAATTGTACACTGAACGAATTCAGAAGAGCCTGTTACTGTACCTGTACCCATCTGTGACTTAGCTTAAGGAATATGTTTGTTACCATAGTTATAAATGTTGTAGTACCTAATTGTAAAATAGACTTTGTAATTTAATTCTATTAATATTGGCATACACTATTGCATTAGGTATTAGTTCCTGATATGATAGTAGTATGTAGTTACATAGTTTATAAATAAATAAATAAAATTGTTTTTACTTCATAGAGGTACATTGAAAATACTCCATAAGGCAAGTTGATTTGCCGCGGACGAAAATGAAATTGATTTCGCGGTGTATGAGAGTTTCCAGAGTCCCTACTGCCCTCTTCCCTATGCCTCCTTATACCTATAGAATAGAC